TCTTCCTAATGTCACACAACCAAACAGTTTGAATCTCCCAAGACCTTTCTCTTAGCAGTACAAAGTCCATCAAACTTCCTGCTCCTCCAGCTCCAGCCCCGTCACAGTTAATGGACCTGCCACATGGATAGACTTGCTAACTCCCTAATGAAAAAGAGACAAATTATATTAATGGAAATGCCACTGCGTCCTGTTTGACAGACACATGCTTCTTCCGCCTCCACTTGATCTGTCCGTCAGCGTTACGTTCTCTCCGACTGCGCCATCAACTCTGAAGTGAAAAGCAATTTGCTGATGATGGTTTACTGCTGACTAAGCTGTGTCGAGATGAGTATTCGCAGCCTCAAACTAATGATCTCGTGTTTTTCCTGATTGCCGGAGAGTTTGGGAGTACAGGTTGAAAAGCAGAAGTGTGAAGGGATCCAGATCACACATCACATCTTGCTTGATATTCTGCTGAATGTCAGTCCCTCCAAAACACCCACAAAGTCGATTAAGCCTCTTGGCTTCGTGCGAAGCCATACTTAAGAGAGCCTGCGTTAAGCATCACTTTCTATTTTACCACACTTGCGTTTCTTCTTCGTTTCTTTTTTTTTCCATGCAGAAGTGATTTGGCCCTCAGACGTGGGTCTGAACCTGTAATTATCTAACAGCCAAAGCAGTGTCCCTGTAATTCTTTCAAACCATCCAGGATCCAAAGACATTCAGGGAGGTCTTCCTCTGTCACACACATCAGGCTGAAGCACCCCGCAGCACCCCCTCTTTTCTCTCCTTCACCCACACACACTTACACGTGTTTTCACTTTAGTGGACACTTTACATGTGTGAAGCTGAGAACTTATCTTCATAATGTACAGCCACAGTGATGCCCTCACACAGGGGTTCCAATATAAATACTTTAAATACATTAAATTTGATATCATATAAATAGCATTTTAATCTTAACAATATTTCACTGCATTGCTGTAGAAATGGTAAATAATGTAAACATGATTCCCTTCCCCACATGATCCAGGGGTCAGTGGTGTAAGAAGTATTCATGTTTTATATTTAAGCAAGACACGCAAGCCCCTTTTACACAGCCTGGAATATCGCACCATTATGGTGCCTTGATGTTCTGTATTTAAGGTATGATTGTGAAACAGTGGACAGATTGGTCTGGTCTTTAAGAACACTGAAACAGTGTCTGTATAAAAAGGAGAGCTTGCTGGATGTGACCATGGGCAAGATGGGTGTAACATTTTGATGACGTGTTATGCGTGCACCCTATGTGGGAGATTTGAAAGTAGCTGTTAGCAGTTAGCGGCTAACTCAAAAAAGAAGAACAGTACATTTCTGCTCATTGGGAAAACAATGGGATTCAGGAGCTCCTTACCCTCTGAGCAGAGGACGAGATCAGTCACCATATTACAGGGAAGGTAAATAATTGTTATTGCCATGTTGATGCCATTGTTGTTGTTTAGAAACTGCTGCCGATGCATATGTTTTATGTCACACTATGAGTCCCGCGCTGCTGTGTTACATGTCATGTTCGCCATGCCTCTTGTGATTCTATAAAGCCACTAAGCAGTTTATAGTCACACACTGGGGCGGAATGATGCCACCCTCATTAAGTTCTCTGTAAAAATCCAAAGGAGGCCTTTCGTGGGATCTCTGTGTAAAAATGGCTTCAGACTATTTTATTGTTTATGTCTTTTTGTTGTTTTGCATCTCTTTGTAATGTTTACCCATCTCCCTGTTTTTTGTGTCTTTTTGTGGTCGTCTGGCATCTCTCTGTAGTCGTTATGTGTCTCTTTGTGGTCATTTTTTTTGGCTCTTTGCAGCCATTTGCATCTTTCTGTTGAAGTTATTTGTCTCTTTTGCTTCTTTCACACTATGAGAGACACAGCATCAGACTACATCTCATTTTCAATAAAAGCCAGTGACATAAAGCCACAAACTGACGCTTGACTTGACGCTGCTGACGGACGTGACACGCTACAAACAAAAGTTGAGCTGGCCACAATTTTTTAAGCACTCCAATGACACAGTGAAGCATCAGCCAATCATATGGTTTGTTTTTAGCCATGGTACTGTTATTTAGCTTAGTTAGCTGACGCCATGCTATGCTAGCTTTCTGTATATTGTGCTGCATATGGGGCAGTGAAATGTAATGTTAAAACGGAGTCACAAGCATATACTTTATGTCCAAACACGAACTTTTAATGACGTTTATTAGTTCTCTGTGGCAGGTAGCAGACACACACAAGCCTGTGGTGACATAACCGTGGTAATGAGTACATGAACAACACTTTATTGGCGACTCAGCGAGAATGCAGCTGGGCACTCTGTTGCTGCGTCCTATTTGTGGTTGTTTCGCATCTCTTTGTAGTCATTTTGTTTCTCTGTCTGGTCTTTATGTGTCTCTTTGTAGTCATTTTATGTTTCTTTGGGGTCATTTTGTGACTCTTCCTGGTTGGTATGTGTCTCCTCAAGTGACATTTTGCAGGTGAAGGCCCCCTGAAACTTTTTGTCTCTTGGCCTGTGCACAGTAGGCCTGTTACATCCATGTAATAATATCTGGTAAATGAATGTGTTGGGTAAAAAGTACATTTCCCTCAGAAATGTAGTGGAGTAGAAGCACAAAGTGGCATCAACTGAACATTTCTATCTCTAGTAAAGTACCTCAAAATTGTGCTTGAGTGCAGCACTGGAGTAAATTACTTGCCACTGCTGCCAGTTGTGGAAAATAAAGCACAAGCAATTAAATTATCCTTTTGTAGAGAACAGTGAGGCATTCAAACACATGTTCACATGCTCTGAGCCTGATGTGAAAACACAGTCGGAACATCCATGTTTGGATATTTAATCAGTCCTTGGCGAGTTGTAGACCAGAAGCAAAAACCTTGTGCCGGTTGCTGTGATCACTCTAATTAATTCCTGAAATGTGTTACATGGTAGTGTCCTGCTGCTGTCCTGTGAAAGGCTACATTGAAGTCTGCGTCTACAGATGGGGTCTGTCTATTGAAACAACCCTGAATCAATATGCTGTGGGCAAGGCTTCATGCTTTGTCTGCGGAGCACTTTCACAATTATTCTTTTTTCCTCCTCTCCTTGCTGCTCGTCTCTTACTTGCTGTGTAAAATATCCTCTGTGAAGGTGAGTCCAAGAACATTTTAACAGCCATGAAGGGTGGAAGGCTTTGAATCTAATATGCTGCATATTGTTTTTGGAAATTAAAGCATGTTGTTCAGTCTGAAATTGATGACACAAGATCCAATCTAGGAAAGTATAATAATAACCAGACACTGAAGTTACCTCTCGTTGTATTATTTCACTCTTACTGTTTTAAATGGGTCTCTTTGGAACAATAAGCTCATAATTGGATAATTGATGCAATTTTAATTAAGGATAATGCACTTAGTTGTTCAACACAGACTGAAATAATGACTGAGTAGTTCTCCCCACAGACATCATGCACGGTGAGCCCTCTACTGGTCACCGTGGGGCCAGCTATACTGTGTGCAGTCATTTTTTTTCAAAGCCTGATAAAACCTAAAGCAATAGGAAGCAATTACTGGAAATGACACTGACAAGACTTTTAGTAGCCAGTGTGATGAACATGTCACAGATTCTTCACATCAGCTGAAGGAAAACTTTTTTTCCGTTTATGATTTAATGAGACAACCAGTCTTTTTGATCAAAGCGGTCTCCGCTCAGACAGGATCTAGTCAGCTGACTGACAGTAGTTCACTTACAAAACTATGATCTCTAGTAAAAGCACACCATCCCTTTCCCTTTTTTTCACTGAACAGAAGTCAAAGCACACATAATGTTCCTTTTATAGCCACTGTTTTCTGCAGCTGTGATCATTTATGTTTAGATTATCGAAGCCAGATCAGCATCAGAATAAAAATTCTGGGATTCACTAAAATCATTCACAACACACTAAATGATTTTACATCAATGCTGCTTCACTTTATACAGCTTCAGGGTTTAATTATTATGCATCCTAATTAAGCATGAACAGATACTTAATAGTCTCTACCATCAGGTACTCCACGCTGCTGTTGGTAGAGGAGGAGAGTGGCACCTCTGCTGGAATAATAATACATTCATTAAGGTGGGAACCCCTGAGGAATGAAATAACAATCAAATGGAATTTAATATTCATGATTATGTTCGGAGAATTCATAGGACCCACCTGAATAACTCCTAAATGTCCCTGAACGTCACTCTGAGGACCACCTCCATATTATGGACTACTGTTAGTGGTAGTAAATGACCCTTACCAACGGGTCTCAGCATCATGTAGTGTGATTTATCCCCAGCTCCGGAGGAGAGTCAGTGCGCATGCGCGGGAGATCTCCTAACCACATGCGTTTGGATCACGACTGCGTCAATTGCACAGAGACAGCACGAGCAGGAGCGGAAGTGGAGTAAATTTAAATCAGTGTTAAAGCATAGGAACGATTAAAAATTGAAAATTAAGTATTAGAAACGTGACTTTGTGTGGAAACTGTAATAAAGATACATTTCTATGATTAATCTTTATTTTATATATATTTTTTAATCGCTGTTTTGGGTGAGATTAGCATGTAACAACATATTAAATTAGTTTAAAAAAATTAGATAAAGCAGAAATGGATTATTCGGTGTTTTAAAATGGGCGGCAACATTGTGTATTTCTGTACAAAAGGCAGAATTATGTTCAGTGGTAAGTAATGTGAAATATAGTCTACATCATTGCATAAAATATGCTAGTGACGCATTACTTTTTCTTTTTTCTGTCCTAATAAGATTGTAAGATATTTTTAATGAAACTGCAAGAAAGCGTCCTAATATCACAATTCCTCTTATTCAATTTGACACAAGTTTTGCTGATAAAATGCAACTTTAATCAGCGAGCTTCATTTTGAAAAGCCAACCGGAAGTTGTGTATATCAAAATGGCGGCCTTGACAGCGCTCTCCCTCCCGACGTTTACCCAGCAGCGGCCGCTGAGCATCAGAGTGCTGATCCTCCTCCGTGTCGGGAAGGCGTGCTGTCACAGATTCACCAAACGCTGCTCGTGTTTTATTTTCTGCCCCAACTCCCCGCAGGATAAAAAGCTCCGCAGCTCGGACCCAACATGGGTTAGAGAGAAAGCCACCTATGGATTATCCACTTTGTGCACTTCGCCGAGGATGATGGGGGGAGAGACGGACTTGTTTTCGCAGAGACATCCTGACAAAGACGGGGACTGAGAGGGAACAGATCGGGATTCGCTGCTTTTCTCTGTCTCGCTTTACATCTTTGTCTCTTTTATTATTTTTTTCTTATTTTTTTAATAATTTCTCTACGTGTGTGAGGGGCAGAGAAATGTTTGCAGAATTGCTGTGCGGCGCCGTGGCTCTGGTCCTGTATGTCAACACTCTGGGCGCCGATTTCTGCTACGATGACAGGTACTTGAGTGAATGAATGACATCCAGCCCCATTTTACTAACGTCACTGTCCCCACTGTGTGTCCTCACCTGGACCTTATCAGCTCCACGCAACAGCACATGAATGATGATAGGCTTCATTCATGATGTTGCCGTAACTCTGAGTGAGCAGCGTTTTATTGCAGCAGCAACTCGTGGACTTTTCAATTAACACAACCAGCCTGCCTTCAGGAAAGTGTCAATTTATCAATAGAGTTTGTTACTGGAGAGTGATCGAACTGCAGCTGTGTTTATCCTTGTTTATCTGTAGTGTCTTACAGTGTGTCAGCAAGTTGGAAATCACTGCTTCATTCCTGCAGACACTTGTGTGTGTGTTGAGACATCATGATCATACAGTATCTTCACATTTCCAGTGACATTCCTGCAGCATTCTCTCAGTAATATCTTCCTGCAGTTCTTAATAGGATGAGCAGTGAAAGCAGCAGTAAATAGGCACTGTGCCTCAGAGCAAAGTGTTGCAGTCTCCAGACTCTGGACTTGCTCTAAGTCTTGAGTTGAGCCGAGGAAATAATTGATCTCTAGAGGAGGAATATGTCTCCTCACCTCACAGCAGAAGTCCCTTCGCCCAACTGCTGCGAGTGTGCAGCCTGCTGAAACTTTGAGCAAAGTATTTTATTATTAATTTACTTAAAAATAGGCAGTAAGTTGTCATCCTCCTCCTCCTCCACTCGAGACCATCAGTTAGTGCATGGCTTCAGCCGCTGCTGCTGTAACTGCGGGGGTAATGCATTACTCATAGCTGGCCGTTTGATATTTGATGGCTGGATGGTTGTCAGTGCCTCGGGCTCATTTATGCACCATCCATGCCTTGATGTAGGTCAGAGCCATCGTTTCCCTGCCACCGCTGTGTTGCTGCTTGCTTTAAGGATTACTCATAATGAGCTCATATTTATAGATACAAGGAATACACCTGTTTTCACCACACTATTGTGCAGTTCGTAATCCTCTGTGTGCTTTGCCCCGGCAGTTTGTTAAACAGGTGCAGCTTTTAAAACACACCCAGAGGACACAGCTTACTGAACAAACACTACATTAACACCCTCCATAGCAACTGGTGGTGTATTTCCTCTACAACTTAGCCGTGTGTGGAGAACACTTCTTGCTTCAACACATCCCCAAAGGCCCTTTTCGCTGAAGTTCTTTGTGTGTGGTAGAGTCGCTCTGCACTTTGTGTTATGGTCAGGTGATTCCAGCAAACTCACGTGCAAGAAAGATGGTGTTCTGTGTCCATAAACCTGTCAGGGAGTGGCAATGCTGTGCAGAGGTGAGAGGCTACCTACCTCTGCTGCTGCTGCTGCAGAGTCAGCTGCTGCTGCGTGGAGCCTCCAGCCTCCAAGTTTTAATGTAAGACAGAAAGCCCAACCCTGATATTCTGTGAGGAGATGTTAACATAATGTTATTTATTACCATGCGAGTTTTGATCCAAGTTATTTCAGGCTTCTTGTGAAACAGATTGACAGAGTTCTCCAATCGTGGCTGGGGATTTTTTTATTGTAAGATTTTCTCTGACGTATTGTGTGTCTGACATGATTTTTATTGCAGGCTATCTGTCATCCAGCGTTATCTGTTTTTAACACCATGCGTTTGGTTCTGGCTCGCAATTAGCAGCCGTCTCCTGTCCCCCTGGGCTGAGCCGGGGGGAAGGAGGGAGATAGAGGAAGGGTGGGTGCGACAGAGATATGTAATTTTGCTCAGGAAAAACAGCCCTGGACACAGAGAGTGATCTAACTAATGCTAATGCTTTGCTGGAGCAGAAAAGAAGCTGATGTGACTCGGTGATGGTAAAGAAGCTGTCATGATGGAAAATGCTGAATGTGTGAATGACGATAAATCAAACTGCGAGCTTGCCATTACCCAACACCCTGCAGCTCTTGGGTAGGATTTATTTTAACTGTAAGTCTGACAGTAATTTATGAATCATTCAAATAATGTTTTTTTCTTAAACTCAAAGGCCATCAGCATTTCAGAATGTGAGGTCTTGTGCTCAAAATAGGGATGTCACTTTCTGTTAATTTTGCTTTCAATAGCCCGACACTCATTAACTGGTAACTAACCATTTAATTTTAAGAAGAAAATGCAAAATTATGTGAAATTCGAGAGGCCTTTCTTTTTGGTCCGGCACTTCATTGACTAAGTAAGCTTTAGCGCTACATTTCAAAGTGCTATCCATGTAGAGGTGGGGAAATGTTAATGTTCTGTGATGAAAATGTCTTGCCTTTTATTTTATTTTCTGTTGGCTTTGCTGACAGCTCATTAGATGTGTTAACCCTCTGCCTTCCATCTAGTCTCTACTAGTTCGCTAACGTCAGCCTTGGCTGCTCTGCACTGTGCACCAGCCAGGCTAGCTAGGTGGGAGCTAGTTAGTGGCGCTGCCGATTTGGCGATTACCGCTAGCAATGTTGTCCCAGTGGTGGGGCGTAGGACAGCATTGCTGTGGAAACATTGTGTCCACCCTCCAACCTCCCACCAGGTGGCCCCGCTGATTAAGCAGCTTCATGTAGTGGTGGAAGAATGAGTCCTAAAACCCGGAAATAAGTTAGCATTTTTGCACTCCCGGTTCCCTCGTCTCTAAGTCAATGGGTCAGTGGACTGTTGTTAACACATTTTTTTTCCTACAAAATAAAATACATCAGTAAGCACTCCCTCTTGAATTTTGAAGCTTTTAGGTGTTTTAAAAAAGGTGGTTGCTAATAAGTGGTTAAATGATTGGTTAAATGACTGGCGACATTATGCGACCGTCCATGGTGTAGTTTGGTTTTAGCCTAACGTTAGCTTTTTTCAGAGTTGACAGAGCATATTTTCTTTAATAACCCAAAACCCAATGGAAAAATCCCTTTAGCACTGTTTACTATGTTAGCACCACTAGCAGTGCTAATGCTGCTAATAGCAGTGACAGAGCTAACAGTAGTGAACAATGTTAAAGGGGATGTGCAGCTCAGAATTGGGCCGCTTAGACTGCAGCAACGTTGGGGGAGACCGGAGGATGGCCACCTTGTTTCCATAGCAATGCTTTTGGGTCAGGACGGTGTTATAAGCAGTAATCATCAAATGAGTAGTGCTGCTAGCTAACATTAGCGCCCACCAGACCCTGGTGGTGTGCAGTGCGTTAAACTGAGGCAAACTTGACCAATAGACAGACACGCATAACATTTTTCAATTGATAAACGGTTAGGCCAAACAGTTGACATCCCTAGCTCTAAAGAAAGATCCGTATTTGATGTTTTATTTGTTGTGTATCTAAAAGAAAAAGAAAACTCTGTGGCTTCCATTGAATGTTTATGAGAAATAGTTGCAGAGGAATTAAATATGGATATTTTGTTACAGTGGAACATTGATTTCTCTCTGTGAGAAGACAGATTGTGCTACTTCTTTGCTTCTGGCTGTGAAACTAATGCATTGACTTAACTCAGCAAGTGATTAAAAGTTAGGATCCAAAATTGTGGCGTGTGTATGGGTGCATGTAAAATGTCTAGGAGCTACAAAGCTGGCATGAAAAACACCTGAGGGTTTTTAATCAATTGGCTGGTAGTCTCGTACGCCGGTGGAATACGTAATGATGTGTTGCTTTCTCTCTATATATTCTTATCATGGTGAAGGCAGTGTCCGAGAAAAACAAAAAACTCTCAGTCACAGCCTACTTCTTATCACTGAGCTGACTGGTTACACAATAATTTGAGCAAACTTTATGCATTCCCTACATAGTAACCAAGACCATCAGGAGGTCACAGTAAAAGGGAAGAAACGGTTTACATGTGTGTTTTACGAAATGTTATCCTCCAGGCTGTAAAAACATAATCCCATGCATGCAGTCTTTGACCATGCAGTCAGTCATGGCCCCTCCCTCGATAAAAACGACAGTCTAGAAGAGTGGCCTGCTCCACAGTGCCAAATCACCCTGGGGAGCATTTCCTCTCCCTCCCCTGGACGCACTCATCATTAACACATACACAGCTTTGACACCTGCACTGGAAAATGGGAATCATACGTCATGTAGTTCATATCTCTGCTGCTGCTGTAATCTACAGTTAGGGCTGAGTGAAGGAATGGTAGAGCCCAGATAAATGTCAGAGGAGAATTACTGGTGCAATTTTGTGTGACTTGCTGTAAGCCTGCACGCTAGGAGCCTGCGGTATAAGAGCAAAGTCTGGTGAATGCATTCACATGGTATTAGCTTGATTGCAGGTGGCAAAATGTTTGCCACGGGTTCTGTGCCAAAGGGCTGTACTCAACCAAAGAAAATCTTAGTCAGCTACTGTTTAAAAAATACCTGGTAGCTTTGTTTCTACTAAAACTTTTCTTTTCCTAAAGCCATCATAGTTTTTGAGTTCTGCATATTTACATGGTACAAATGCCAACAGTGTGACAAGGAGTGAAGTGTCTATCCCACACGTTTGTTTTTTTTTTTCTTCTGGTTGCCAAAAGATGAAAAAGGTTTAACTTTTGGTAAATAACTGCTCTTGTCACTTTCATCCAATGTAGAAGAGGGGTGGGATAGACACCACAAAGACCAACTGTGACATGCCCAAGGAAAAATTAGTACTTATAGCACAGATAGGCGGGTCCGTCCTCTCTCCATACGTGCATCAGCCTTTCCTTCATCTAAAGCAAAAATTCTCAACCTATTTCATTTCAAGGACCCCTAAATTAATATACATTAGGTCATGGATCTCCATTTTATAAGATTTCATAAAACATCTGAAAAGACTTTGGTGGTCAGATACGACCAGAATTCTATGGTTGTCAGGAGGAGATAACAGTAAAGGGATGTGAAACCTATTATTAGAATAGCCCCTCTTATGACTCTTATCCACATTGATCTCACTTCTATAGTGAATTAAACACTGAAAATAAACTATTGCCCATTTTTCTGGGGACACCCCGGAACTTCCTTGAGGACCCCTGGAGCTCCCGGACCTCTGGTTGAGGAGGTGCACTGGGCTTTGAAGCCAATCTTCATAGTG